GGTCAATGTCTCCCCGAGCGGACGAGGAGCATTTGGAATGCGACGCCTGCGAGAGATGCGGCGAGGAGGAGGAGGACAACGCCGCCAACTCCGCCCGGGAATCCCAGGCGGATCTCTCCCAGGTGGACCTCTCCCGGGTGGACTTCTCCCGGGTGGACTTCGGAGAGTCCGCCGTGACCCTGGCGGGCGCCGGGTGCCTCCTCGAGGCGGACGCGGAGAGCGAGGCGTGAATCGCGGCGTGCGTGCCACTCTTTCTTCTCTTCTTCGCCCCGGACCGGCCGCGGAGGAAGGGGGTGGGTCCCCTCCCCCCTCGATGACGCTTACGACGGCGATGCACGACGGATCCGCCCCGGTCCAGACGCGAACAAAGGCTTCCCTATACTGCCTCTCTCTCCCTCTCCCTTTTTTTCATTTTTTATTTTCCTCTCTCTTTCGTTCTCGCGACGCCGGGAGAGGGGAACCGGGGGAATAACAGAACCGCTCTCACCGCAACGTCATCATCGTTCGAAACCGAGAAAAATGCAACTTTTTCTACTCGAGCGGAGTAACGGATGTCCATCCGAGTCCGCATGTGTCCAAACGGAAACCCCCGCAAGCGGGAAAAGTCAAGGAAAAGGCCGTATATATAAAAAAAACCAACCGCGATTCATTCTCGAAACGACCGGGAAAACCCGTCGATCACGTCGAGGACTGCTTATAATTCTTCGTACTGAGCATCTTCTTCCCGCACATCGCACAGATCCCCTTCTTATACGCGCACCCCTGGCAGTAGTGCGACCCCGCCTGGTGCACCTTCTGCCTGCATATCCTGCACTGGTCGAACCTCTCCGTGTACGGATTGTACCGGTTCGTCTTGGCCGTGAGCGCCTTGTTCTCGTTCACCCGTCGGCCTCCTCCCTCCGTCGTGTTCCGCGCCCCCGCCTTCCACGGGTCCGGGGTCACCACCTTCCCCAGCTTCTTCTCGCACTTGTCGCACACCATTCCCCCTCGCCGACCCGGTGAGGAGAGGACTTCTCGTCTGGATCGGAAATTCAATCGACCGGTGAAAAACACTTTTTCCGCAATGCAAATCACTTTTTTTTAATTAAAAAAATTGTTTCAATTGGATTATTCCTAAGAAAAGTACACGAAAACGCTTCAATGCGACGCGAATGTTTCTTTTTTATTTTCACGTATTAAAATACTTCGTGAACGCAAGGAACAGATTCGGCATTAAGGAAACCCATTTTAAAGCAAACCGCTCCCAGCATCGCAACGAAACTGGGCTGAATTAAGTAGAGCCTTTTCAACTTGCTGCATGAATGAAGAAGCAGGTGTTCACCGGGTGCCTAACCCTTCCAACAGGGCTCGGTAACATGTCGAAATTTAAATTCGACGTTATCTCCTGCATAATAAACGTGGCTCGAGAAGGAGGGGGATAAAAAGGGGGAGATCATCAGATCAGAACTCAAAAGGAACATGGGCTAGAAAAAAAAAAAGAAAAACAAGCAAAACTTGTTTTTCTTCATCAACTCTCCCCGGAATGGATATGCAGATTTTTTGAGCTCAAGGCCTCTCAAGGTTTACGGGATCCAACTGGCAGGCGGATGCATGGGCGTCCACGTGATGCATGGGCGTCCACGTGATGCATGGGCATCCATGTGCTGCATGGGCATCCTGGCGCTCGTGGGAGGGAAGTAAACCGCAAAATCTGGTTGTACTTCTTTGCCAGACATGTTTTGAGATATTTGGCTATATTTTAGTCGCATTCGTGGGCCGTGCGGTCGTGCGTCCCCCCGCCTTATTTTTCTTCCCAAGTTGTGATTTCTTACATGTTCCATTCGTTTTTTTTTTTGATGATTTGTTTTCTTTTTCACGTGGCAGATTGAAAGGCAGTATAAAGAAACCGTTGCCATTGCTGGTCTGAAGGTGGATTTTCATTGTCTCTTCTCGATGGCAAAACGCTCCATAATTAATGGAAACATCGTCATACTTGGCTGTCTCTTTTGCCATAATTTATGGCGAGATTCGTGCTATCTTCCAGCCATTAAAATATGCCCTCTGGATACTGCATTCAAAATGCACGAACGGAAGTCGGTAATGATCGCCGAATATAAAGACCTAGGAGGCGCGCAGCAACAGGTAATTAGAGCGAAGAATGCATTGTTCCGCTTGTGGGAACTCGACACTCTCTCCCCTAATCGCCCGTTCCCACAGGCACCGATCGCACGAGCGCCGATCGCGTCAGCGACGACACCCCGACGACACCCCCGGAGGAACGAGAAGCCCCTCGCGGCGCCTCCAGAGCATGCGTTCGTCCGCCCGGATCCCGATGGGCGAGGGACGCGAACATCTATACCAAGGAGGGCATCGAGAGGGAACGTGCTCCGCTTGTTTTTCGACGGCTCACTCCCTTTATGGTACTACAGTCGAGGGAACCGATCTCGGAATCACATCTCGTCTCTTCGTCTTATCTTCCCCTGTCACCGGTCTCATATCTCTACCCGAGACTAAGGGACTCCAACTTATTGGCATACTCGTCCCTGCTTCTCTGCATTTTTCAGGGGTTCACCCTCATAGACCAATGCACCCGGAATGATTCCGATGATAAAGCGCTCCAAATCTTACATACCAACATAACATTCAGATAAAGCGGGCCCACGACGAGCCGTGTCAGGCGAGATGCCACAAATGGAACGCAATCCGAAGTGCACTCTGTCACATCAGGCACCACTTCGGCTCTAGCAAATTTAATCTGCAAGACTCACAGTTGCAGTATGGAAGCGAATGCACTTAGCAAACAAAATCTGCACGACATTCATGCATGTGAATTTGTGAATTACTATGTTTGCATAGTTGAGTGTCAGATGGGATAAATCCTGGGTCTTCAAAAAAAATTTCTTTGAAGTATGTCAATGGGTATCATGTGGCTGGTCCATGAAAGACGACTCAGGCTTAAATAAGGTATTACTGTCGTTCTTGCAATGTCAACAGGAACTAGCAATTAGGACCTTCCAATGGTGTGCAGTCGGCACAAATTTGCTACTATTTCTTCAACTAGGGTGAGTCTAGTCACATGAGAGTTCACTTCCACAGATAAACATGTCCACGAGAGTACATACAAGAGAGTTCTTTGCATTCATGCAAAAGTGCAATAACAATGAATGGCATTTTCACTTTCATTTTTCCACAAGTAACTCATACAAGTGAGTTTGCACAGTGAACCTGCCCTAAATAACTCTGGACCACTAGGCATCGACAGACCTGAGTTCGCTCCTGCTGCAAGTCTCCTGGCTTCACTTGCGACTAAACGGTCCCGTGGGAGCAGCTGTCCATTCAATTAGGACCATCTCTTATTCCCATCATGTAGGATGACTGGCAAAAAATCTGATGGGTTCAAGCAATGAATACAAATAAATGAAAACTGTTCAAAAACAGTTATGTACAGATATTTAAGTTCTCACAGTTAACCTACAAAGTATGTTGCATTTCTAGTGTCCATATGATCACTGATGACAGGGAAAGCCTCATGAGCACAGACAGTGCATTCGGTCGTGACCGATGGGCCGCTCATCTCTGAATGGAATCCCACGAGTTGGTAGAGACTAGGTTGGAAAGGACAAGGTATCAGCTGGTGGGTGGCGCTGACAATGGGTGTCGTGATTATCGTTGCCCTTGAGACGGGGAATGAAGAGCAACCACATTCTCCAAATAAGTTCTCTCATTTATTCTTGCATTTTTGCTCTCCAGAATCCATCATTCCATAAATGATCACAACACCAAAAAATAGGCAATTTCTCTGCACGACTCGACTCTCCGGCACGAGCACGACCCTCGTTCCATACGACCGGATGCACACATCGTTCGATTGGGGCGAGTCCTCGAGTGCGATCGAGAACGAAGCGTATGATTGTCCGAGGGGATGTGGTGCGGATGCGATGCACTCTCGAGCCGTCTGCTGGTTTCGAATCTGCTTTACATAGAAAATGTGGCACTCTCAGAGCTGGGGAAAGACGACTAGGCCTCCGATCCGGAACGGATGTCTCATGGAACACCGAGCTGGATCGACTTATCCTTCTGGGGGGTCAGGAAAGAGGAAGGTGCTTCTGAAAAGCTGAGATTGTTTGGCAAGCATTCAGCATCAACTTGGAGGTGGTTCACGATTCATGAATAGAATAGCATTACTATGGTAAGTATCTGCAGCCACATCACCGGGATTCTTCGGCACACAGGCTAATATCTGGTCGAGAAAGTTGGCTTTAAAAGTAAATCTAGGTAAATAAGTTCCACAAAAAAATAAAATTCTGTCTGTGTTTGCTTGTAGAACTGAATTTGAAAAAAAAAAATTGTTTGCCTTCATTCTGATGTGCAGGCTCTTGAATATAAAAAAATCAGTAACCAGAATTTGTTCTCTCCAATACCAAAGGAAGACAGAATTTCACAGGTAGAGAAACCGGCGGAGGGGAAGAGCGAGCATTTCTCACTAAGCAACATGTAACAACATCCCATTTGGTCACAAGACCCTGCATTAATGCAGCTCCCTTCCATTTTAAGAGATAGCAAAACGCTGTATGGAATGCACTTGGAACAAAATCTCGCCACAGACTCGAGTAAAAGAGACAAAAATCACAAACTCAAGAAACTTGGTTGAAAGCATGAATTAGACAACCAATAAGCCACACCTGCAACCCTGTTGTGGCAACGCCTTGCATGCGAGATCTTTCTTTGAGGATAAGCATCCCACACCTTTGGTGATATCTCTCCACAGAATGCATGCATAAGCCAGGGGACCAGGATCACAACGTGGAGAATGGAAAATGAATACAATATAGCGCAGGAGGAAGCTAGAAGTCAAAGACTTGCAGCTTCACCATTGCAAACTCAAGTCATAAAATCAAATGAGGATAAAGCACCACTGCAATCTCCCTACACAGCAGGGTAACCCTGTGCACGATGCCACGAGAGCAGTTTGAAGTCATGAACAGGGAAACAGCCATGTAAAACAAAACAATTGCCATCTCCCTAAAATGATGAAAGACAAGATAATAGATCGAGTTAGCTTCTCTCATGGTCTTGCGAACACCATGAAATGTCAGCTTCTCTTTCAGACTCTGAGTACCATCAGACACCCTTGTTCCACATGGGAGTGACTTTTAAAACATCCATGCTCACATGTAGTCCTCAATACCAGCTCAGGGAAATTCACAATGCATGACAATGTGACAAGAGGGAGCAAGAGAGAGCATGACATCAGTGATGAGTCAAGGACCTAGTTTCAACTAGAGTGAATGGCACTCATTTGTTCCAAAGACAATAAAAAAATCACTACTAGGCTTGGAAAAAGGAAGCTTCCATAAGTAATGGACTCATTATGAAAATGAGCCACAGAAGAACAGTCAGGATCTTCCTAATTGTAACAAGATTAGGCTGCAGGTTCACAAGGAAAGGAGAGCAAAACGACAGGTACTTGAAGTATCTTACTTAACCTCACGACAGCCCAAGCGTGAAAATAGAAATGTGTGCAAGCTTTCTGGGGAGCTAGACAGCACATTTGTCATTCATCAAAACTTTCCCTCTCCTCTAGGGAAAGCATGGAATGATAAGAAGAAAAGACTTATTTAAGTTCTAGGGCAGAATCACATAGATCTCTACTTGGACAGATGGCAAGCAATCAGCTGCAGAGACGTGGCTTTGTCCTTGGCAGCCTTGGTCTGCACCTCCAGGTCAGCCTTCGTCGCGGAGAGGGATGCATATTTACCCCGAAGAACGTCCAAATTACACTTGAGGAGATCACTGGTTCTCTTGAGAGCTTTGGCTTCACGCCGTAGAGCTGCCTTTTCCTCTTCTTGATCTGCAAAAACCATCAAGAGCAGTCAAATCCTGGAAGTGTTGAATGATCACATGAGAAAACCCTTCAAAAACATCACTTTAAGGGCTCTCACCAGTGGCATAGCGCCGATAACTCTCCGTGATGGCCTCCAGGCCGGGCCAGGGAGAGACGGTTGAGGACGTCTCCTCGGTCGAAGATCTCGACCGGTCGGAGCAATCGCTGGCTGCCCGAGCGTTTTCTGGCACCTCTCGCTTGGGACTCACTCTGCATCTTTCTCTAAAGTTAGGCCTGGATTCCATCATGTTCATAAGGGGGCTCTGATTGAGGGACTCCAACATTTCTTCAGATACGTAGCCAGCTTCCACTTGTGACACTTGCTCTTTCACCTGATGAACCAATTTTTCGGCAGCATTACGTAGACCAGCCAGGGGAGCTGCCTTTTCGAAACCTTTCCTCCTTAAGGCTTCCTGAATGATTCCTTCCCATGTGCTCTCCAGGTCTAGAAAACAACAAAAACTCATCATTCATGAATCTAACAGGTTTGGGGTGAATGGAGTCAGAAACTTCTTCAGTAGCATACCTCTCTTGGCTGATTCCGACATTGGAACAAGGCCAAGTTCCCCAAGAAATGCAACTTTCATCTCACAGGAAGGAGAATCCCTCTGATTCAGTTCCCCTTCGTGACTGCAGCCTTCAGAAACACTAGAAGGTATCACAACGTCTTCACCTGCAACAGTTCACGACTAAATTGTGGGACCCATGAATCAAAATTACTGTAACCCTACAAGTGACCATGGAATGAACACTTACCACTGGTGATCCCATTTGTCAATGCTGAGGTGACAATGGGAGGTGGTGGGGGTTGTGATTGAGGACGAGCTGCCAAATGCGAAGTAACAGGCTTCTGTAACAAATTAATTAAGAGTTAGCATGGCTATGTTGAAATGAGAGTAGCATGATCAGATGGATCACTGAATGCAGAGTGTATAGAATTGTCCATGAGCAATATGTCATATCAGTTTTATTGCATTTGGAGGAAAACAAACTATTTAGGACTTCTCAGGCAGCCTTCAAATTTTCACATGGACAGGAATAATTACTCCTTGAAAACAAGTAAGGAATAGATTAACTTTTCTTTATGAGAAAATTATTTGCTGTGTTTTTTATTATATTATTTTTATATTAATTATTTGCGTCAACACTTTTTTTTGTGCTAGTCCATGGGATTGGATGGATGGTAGGTTCCTGAGAAACTTTCATACCAGGATTCTCAAAAAACTTAATCTCACACTGCCCATGAAACATCAACCTAAGTGAATTGCATAAGTGAAATCATCAATCTGGTACCAATCTTTGAGCATATGAAGTAAACTATCCACCCACCCCCAATTACTTCCTCCATGTCATGCATGGTTAAATTGAGAGTTTCCTCAACAGAAATCTCACTGGCCTTTTGATAAAGCTTTTGTGCAAAAGACTTGGTGTCCTAACTGCAAATTCAGACTCCATTAAAAAAAAAAATTCTTTTTGGTAGGTGAAGAAACCAGATGATAAGCTAGGATGGTCATGAAGAGAGCAAATCCATCACCAATCAGGAGTAGGTGCTTCTAGGAGCAGCAAAAAGTGATCAGTGTAGCTAGAAAGCCTGGGTAATTGAATGAAAAGCCAAACCCAGGAGAAGGATTACTAGGGTCTCTCCTTACCCCAGCTTTATTACAGAAAAGCAAGAAACTTCCATAAGTGACACATCTGGGAGCATGCAAGAAAATGATGAAATCCCCCTTGGTGCTCCATTTACCTCAGCTTCCAAATGAATAACAGCCTGACTGCTCAGTTAACCCATCAAGTTGCAATTTTTTTTAAGGTGACCATTTTAATTTCAAAATTAGGCCTGGAAACTTGCAGGCATGCCTGCTTAATTATCATCAGGGCCTCATAAAATGAGCATGATGCTCATGTACAAGACTGTGATCTCCTTCCCAATGCTGGCTATCAGTGATATTTTGAGACTTTCATGCACATGTTAGCCAGCACAACACATTTCCCTATTGTGTTCTCAATGACAAAAAACTCAAGATTTATTTTCCTACATAAATGAAAAGCAGAAATGACAAGTGATCAATGGAGTGCCTACATTTTATGGCTAGTTTTTTAGGAAAAGCAATAATGTCAATCCAGCTTGATGGGTTAGTCCAACAGCCTTGTGAAGTTATTTGAGGCTTCCCTGAACTACTTGTCAAATAAAGATGATAAGGAAAGCAAAATACAACTTGGATTTTTCTTTGAGGAAATGGAAGGCACCAAGCTGAGAAGCTCTCAAAGAGGCATGATAGAGTTTAACACAAAAGGAAGATTGCAGCCACTGGAATGTAATTGCACACAGAATGGTTCACTATGGCACTCCTCACAAGTCATCCTGCATAAAAAAAAAAAGTAAATGGTAACTGAGGACATAACATCACATTTTAGAGAACAAGCATGCTGAAAAAAATTGTGAGATACAAAAAGAGGGGTCACAAAAATCACAGATGATATCAACTCAGGAGTCAAACGTGCTCTGCACAAAAAAATTTACCTCTACCCAACACCAAATGCATTTGCTTGTTCATGTATCAGGGACAACATCATAAACCATTCAATTTAAAGTTTTTGTTGGAAATTTCTTCCATCATCAACCCTTGTGAAGGTGGGTAAGCAAAATTACATAAAATTCACCCAGTATAGAGGAGGATTAACAACGTGCCTTGTGTAATATACCCCTTGAAGAAGTAGCTTGCCTTTGGTAACTGGTAACTCTAAAGGACAACAAAACTGCTTCAGTGGCACTTGATGTCATACACATGAAGCATAGTTGAGAGCTTCACCTCTGCAAATCCATTTTTGCTAAGAAGTTGCTTCCTGATCAAAGTCAAAGCTATAGTACTGTCCAAGTCTCAAGTCGCCATGCTAAACAATACAAAATTTATTGTAAGCAAACTCACAGAGAATCATATTTAAAACAAAACTTGAGTTTTTCAAACCCTGATCTTACATTTTCCTCTTATAGCCTCCATGCTTTGCTTCATTATCAAGTGCTACATTTAGAAAAGGAAACACTGTCAATTCACACATCTGTACTTCAATAGAATTTACATTTAAACCTATCTGCATCTTCATTCAACTATTGCTCACCCACAGGTTCTTAGCACTCCAACCTTCCAACCTTAACAAACAACACCCTTCAAATACGGGCTTGAGTACAAAAAAGGTGTCAACATGGAACAAGATTTCTCATGTAATGCTACATGAAGTTTTAAAAAAACTGTTTGGGGATCAGTTCTAAATGTTTAGAATACAAACTTTATTGCAAGCTTATCAGTGTAATTAGCAATTTTACCTGAGGAATTTCTCAAAAATTACAAATGAAATCACTTGAATGTAACATATGTTTGCATTGAAAGGTTTTCTTTTCTGTAGTTAACTCTTCCAACTTGACCTTATGGGTATCAGGGCTTGTACGGTCCTAAGAGTAATCATCTCAACAAAGGTGATTACTTGAGGCACAAAGAGCTGAAACTCCCCCATTGCAAGGTTTCAATTTTTCAGCTGTCTTTTGTATCTTTAATCCAGGCTGGAAGCTGAAATAATAGGGTATTACATAGCAAGAGGCCTACTTTTTCTTGCTGCATCAGTACAGCTCTTTCTTCCTTCATGGAATGATTAAAAAATAAAAGTAAAATGGTTCAACAGAATATTAGAAACATGGAGTTGTCTGTCAGCTATGGAAGTACTCAATAAATTCAACAATCTGCGTATACACCCAAGCTCAATGACAACTGTACTATTATTTGGGCAGGGGGAAGGGTCAAATGTCTTTGCAGAGGATCTGCATTCATGATTGGCAGAGCAGATAAAGACTGAAGCAAAAGAGTCCTAATGAATATTCCAGGATGGCTCTCAATACATCAGTAACTTCTCAAGGGTTGATGACCAATATGGTAGATGGTAGTCTGAAGAAATTTTGCTTAAATTTCATCAAATCAGTCACAGATAAAATCAGAAAATAAAAAATGAGACAGAGAGAGCATGCAATGCCAATGAAACTCCAGATGCGGATACAATTTGCAAGCCGAAACTTCAAATGCAAAAGAGTGAAGCACCTTTTAGGTTAAGGGAGTCTTACTTATGATATTCAGCCATGCCATACAAGTGCATTAGTTGGATATTGCACATTTCCAACACCAAAGGCATTAGATTCTTTCCTAAACAAATCCTCGCATAACAGAGACATCATTGCATCTAGTTTTATGCATGGTGAAGGCCAGCGAAACCTACATGATTCTTCTTGAGGGAATTAATCCTGCAACTGAGCATGGGCATGCACCATTACAACCACTAAAGCAAGGGGAGCCGAGATCACGAGGCCGAGAAAGAGCCACACATTCTTCGCGAATGTGTTCCTACATCATGAGTGGGATGGATGGCTGAGGGATGATTGACTCACAGTGGTTGACTTTGTACATTCCAGAGGTTGACTAGTGGTCACAGAGGAAGACACGGGGGCAGGAGCTTCATTCTGGCTCTCACTGTGCCTTCCCTTCGAACTAGGAGAGACCCGGGAGCTCGAGCCACACTGGGATACTGGTACCTTATGATTTGACTGAGATTCCATGGTGGAACCTGTCCCCCATTGAGACGGGCTCGGAGTCGGTGGGCGAGGCGGATACCTGGCGGGGACAAACGGCCGCACCACCGCATCCCAAACCAATGGTGAACTTCCTGGTCTTTCTCCTTTTGTTCCTAGAACAAAGAAAGCACAAAGGTGCAAAGTTTTAATAAGAATTCTGGCTAGTGAAAGACATTGTTATTCATCCCTGAATATGGGTTTCAATTCAAAGAATCCTTAACACTAGACTGACTCTGGAGGTTCCAAAGGAATGACATGGCAATTACAGTAGCTCTCTATAGGATGGAAACAGTGCAGACTCCACTCAGTAGCAAAATATTTTTTGGCTTAAGTCTATGGCAATAAATCATTATTCAGTAAGATCTGAAATGTGCAAACCTAGTACTTGATTTTCTGCTCGCAGATGGTCACACTCAATAGAATTGTTGGTTTAGTGCATCACACAGACTAGAATGGCAAGCACTAAAAATCCCAACTCTTCTAAACATGCTCCAACCCAGGACACATATCAACTGCAGCTCAATCCAGGGCAAATTGTGCTAACTACCAAAGGGACATTATATATCAGTTAGAAGCTTGCAATGCAATATGAGCAAGAAGGGAAGTAAGTTACACTTTATGAATCAGACACCATCAATATTCATGAGAAAGAGCTTTGTCACAGTCACATGATGTCATAGCCAGTGTAAAACCTTTGAAGTGTAAATGAAATGAGATGTCCATAGTCACAGAGGAAATGGAACCCAACAGCAATCAGTCTTCCAGAGGGAGAAAGGGACCATGACCCTCCAGAGATGACGGCATAGGGAGGCAGGCAAGTATCCATCCAACCATGAATTCCCCCACCCATTATATGTGCACATCTTTTCATTCTTGCTTTTTAATGGAGAATGTCTAAAAGCATCACATCCCATTGCAATAACCAATTTCAATGAGTGCCACTAAATAATATTGACTTCTCAAAATTCCATTGATTCTACCCAAGGTAGAATCAATGGAATGGAACAGCCAGCATGTGAGCTGGCGGAATATCAAAGTTCCCACAAATGAAGTGAGTTGGTGCCTTAAATTGCAGCTGTTGTGAATCATCCCTGGTGGGTGCTTGGAAATCCTCAAGAAAGAGTTCACCCTAGCTTATGGGAAGCAGAAAGGGTCCAACTCCCAGTGGTGATGTTCTCCAGATAATACCAAGAGACCAGACCCTTCACAGATTTTCATTAAAATAAATGCTAAAAAATATATGTCACAGAATTATGAGTAATTTTCATCTTATATATCTTTCACCTTATGATCTGACTGGGTCAAGCTCAGGAACAATTTTATTTTACTAGTTGAGGTCTGTCTAATGACATCCATGATATCAATTACATCATACAACTGCACATAGTTATGAAGAATTTTTGCCTAATCCTATCCCACCAAAAACTGATTTTACAGATTATTCTGACTGAACCACTCACAAACTTATATTAAAGGTTTGCATGCCCGTTTACTGAGAACACCCTTCTGTCAAGTTTTACCACTTTACTCCATTATTTAAGGATTTTTGGAGCATCCATCCCCTCCATACATTGAAATGGCAAATCTTTACTTCCTGCTTTTGTTCACAGTAAATGGCAAGAAAACCAACTGCATCTTTCCATGAAAACAGATTAAGGAAATCCACTCACCAGGAGATTTTCGATTGCTCGGGCTTCTCTCTCTGTAATGACTAGACGCTTCACTCTCTTTCTCTATTCGCCGCTCCTCTCGGTGCTTTTCCCGTTCTTGGCGGTCCCGTTCCTTCTCCTGGTGCTCTTTTTCTCGCTCCTTCTCCAAACGCTCTCTATCCAACTCCCTGAGCCTTTGTTGCTGCTGCTGTTGGGCCTGATCTACTTCTAGCCTCATCCTATCAGTGAAGAAGACAAGGCATGGATGTAGACAGGAAGCTAAAATAAAATGCAGTCAAAGTTTTTTTACAAGCATCTGAAAAATGGAGTGGGTGCATGACTGATATTCTCATCTGGCATCAATGAATGGCACTGGGATTCCAACTATTTGGCATGGGGTGCAAATAAAATTAATTAGCCTTTCATTGTCTGGAAGAGGCATGTGAAATAGGAGCTGCAGAATTGCTGGCAACCTTCATCTATTAAAAAAAAAAGTGACTTCCAACTGAAACTATAGAGGCACTATTTGGGACACAGTCTGGGGTTACAATGATGAGCTACAGCTGACAATGATGAGCTACAGCTGGATACCTGATGGGAGAGGACAAGGCTTTCCAGAGCCATTTTTTCATTCCTTGGTGTTTTCAGTCCCAGTCACCTATTCCCTGTGCCAGTAGGTAAAATGTGCAGCATGTCAATTAATCACATTGCAGAGATGTCATACAATATGAACTACTTCTGAGGATAGAGACTCACTATCCTCTAATTCCTTGTAGTAAGCAAACGTTCAAGATCATGAGCCAGAAATGCATCAGGCACAGGGGACACCAAAAGATAGACTTATCATCACTCTACAAGGCAAAATGACATAAGATACATTCTTGGGCATTTTATTGATGTACAGACATTAATAAGGATAGTTCCACCCAAGAGCATTACTAGAGGACATCTAAAATGACATCAATATTACATCACATAAACAACTGATAACCACGATTATTTTCAGAAAGAAGAGCGACAGATCCTTAATGAAGTGAAAAAGATCAAGGAATTGCAAGCGAAGTCTGCAGGCCCATGAGAAAAAGGGCATCGCACTGCCCACCCAGAAAGAATCCCTTCTCAAAAACTTCCTTCAGATAGACATAAGACAGGGGGCCTGGCCCTCCGATGAGATGGATGAAGATGACATTCCACTTGTCAATTCAATCACGTCCACCAGTGATGGGTCCGGATTCATAGAGTCAATTTTCCATGCGTTCGCCTTTACGAATGCCAATTGTCACTGATCCTACTCGAGAATTGCATCTTTCATCCTTACAGCAATGCCGTTATGACAGAGACAATGCCTGTCATTGCCACCATAATAACGGCACTGGCAGGGGTAAAGCGTTCTGATCTTGGGGCCAATGGAGACCATCATTCCTATTGACCAAATGTGCAAGCGAAGCTGGGATCGAAGATCGAAAAGGTCATTCGGGTTCAGCGTTCTACCTTTTCCTGTGTTCACGTTTTACCTCCTCCTCCTCTTCATGGACAATCTCGCATATCAAGCCTGGACATCCTCTTTTGCCGTTTAAAATTGCCAGCGTTTTTTTTTTTTATTATTACACTAGCGTAAAAGCCTAATGGTTGATCTACAAAAAACTGAAGCTGACCTGTCCGGCAACACAGGCGCTCTCGCCATGAAGCTGAGAGGGTTGAGAAGCATTTCCGGCTGGAGGAAGGGAGTCATCGACAGGTAGGGCGACGGGGTGGAAGGGGGAAGCATCTGGGATCGGAGGAATCCCAGCCGCTCCAGGTAAAGCTGCTCTTCCAGCCTGAGGAAAAACCGTGCAAAAACGCGTTTCAGGCGATCTGCGAAGCCGCTACCGAGAAGCCTCCTTCCGACCGTTACCTCAACGTGTGCGGTGAAATATGGGGGCTGAGGTAGGTCATGGGGAGAGACGAGTAGGCGACTGGGTCGATGGGGAACGGGGGAAAGAGCCCGCTGGTCACAGACGGGGTCGGAGTGGTGTCCCCCAGGCGATAGGAATGAAGATTCTTGGCTCCTGAGAACATGGATTCGGTCAACGAGAACGAGGGAAGCGTGGACGACGACGTGGATCCGGGTTCGCTGGTCACGGGATACAGAGACGAGAAGGTGGAGAACCCCATCCGCAGCTCCTCGGCACTTGGGTGCGCCCGTCCCGGCAGGGAATAGAAGGGGTCCTCGTGCCCGCGACTTCCCACCGAGCCGCTGTAGTCTCCACCGTTCGACAGGGGCGGTGGGACCAGCTGCAAAGGACGGGCCATCGACACTCGATATCGCGACGTTCGAATTCCACTCTTTGCTCTCGGGGACGGATGGGTACATACCTGTTTGGGCTCTCCGGGGTAGGCTTGGGTAGGGGCAATGGTCACGACAGGTGGCGTATTCGACGCCGATGAGTGCGCAGGAATGAGAAGTGGCTTCGTTTTCGCCGGCCCTGACGATGCATGAGAACTGCGATGCTTCTCGGTCATTTTCTCGTCTGGAAAAGAAAAATGCATTCGTGATCGCCCCGAGAAAAGAATTCCTCGAAACGCGTCCCCCCGAAAAAATCCGCTCGATCGCGCGCTTCTACCCAACGTACTGGGCGCGGGGAGATCTCCGGCCTGCTTGGCCAGGCTTCTCAGCGCAGCGGCGAAGCTGGACGTGGAGCCGCTGTGGGCCGGCGGGGTGGGGAACGGGAGACCGTTCCCCCGACTAGTCAGGCTCCCAGACGAGGAACCCAGGGGCGGGGCCGGCGGCAGCGGGGGCACCGTCGCCATCGTCCTGGACGCCTTCGGCTGGAGAGGCGAGGGGGCTCCGAGGGTTGGGGGGCCCAGCATCCGCTTCCCGTTCCCCAGCCCTGAGAGAGAACGAGACGACAGGTGAATATTAAAGAGCCTCGTAGGAAATGAGTCTGCATCGTAAAAAAAAAAAAGAAAGGGGAACAATAGACGAAATAGAAGTCCGGGAGTCGTGACTAATCCACCTCTGACGTCTCAATAACGACGCGAGTGGGTCGTTCGAGTCGGATGGAAGTCGTGTCGATCCGTGTCTCATAACGGGTGAAAAGACCATCATCGCAGGTCCAATTTGGAAGGCAGGCGACACCGGGGAGCTTGCCCCTCGCATGCATAATGCATGCGCCCCCCGATGCAACGAAGCCGAAAATAGATTCTCGAGACCGGGAGCCGAGGGATCCTCGGCCGAGGGGGTTCGATTGTCAAGGCCGGCTAGGAAGTCCTTCGTCTCGCGGGGAGATAGAGTCATAAAATGAGGGAGAAGAGAAATAATTGTTGACCTTTGCCCAAGGGAAGAGAGAGGAGAGTAACTCCGGCGACCCCCGGGTCCCGCGGGGGTCAGGCTAGATCAAATCGATTCGTGAGAAAAGGAGAATCAATGGTTTCAGAGGTCAAGGGGATCACCTCGTTGTGTAAGGCGGTCCCATCATTAACCGCGAGCAGACACCTCGGCCCTCTCGACCGCTCACTCGCATTCGGCATTTCCCCCCCTTTTTTTTCGGGCCGGCATTTCACGCGCCGTTCCCCGCCGCCCCCCTCCGAATCGATGAACGGACTCGTCCGACGAGAATGGAAACGACCCGGGGACGACGAAGACAAAAGGCGCACGATCGCGACCCCGCCCGGCTACAGATGTGCGGTGGTGAAATCGCACGCGACAGAGGAACTCGGGAACATGTTCCCCGGTCCATAATTGATGGGAGTGGGGAGGCGAATCACATGCGATGGAGAGGATGGGGGAGAAAAAGAGCCGATATTGAGGGGGAAAGGGGGAGGGGGCCAGGAAAAAGGGAAGGGGGGGGGGGCTCTGCCATCACGCCCGGACCTCTCTCCCCCCTCTGACAATCCCGTCGTAGTATGGATTCAGGGACATAATAAGAAAGAGATCCTTCCGCCCACCCCCCCCCCCTTCTCTCTCTCTCTCTCTTTCTCAGCTCAGCCGGTTTCTTCCCTTCGTCGTCGGCTTGGGATCGATGGCATGGCTGGCTTAGCTTGCTCTTCCTTAGTTGGATCAATGGCTCCGTGCACAACCTCTCCTCTCTTTTCCCCCCTGCTTCCTTCCTCCCCCTACACTCCTCCCTCTCCCTCTATACATGCGGTTCATTAGGGTAAAAGGATCGCCCGCGCCAGACAAGGAAATGGGGGGGAGGGGGGGGATCTGCCGGGCTCTTAGGGCCGGTATCACCACTGCCAGCCCCTTCCCCGATCCGCTGCGACCGTGACCCCGACGGGAACGAACGTGCCCGTAATTACAGACGATCTTCGAGGCGTGGGGAATCGTAAATCGAACCATCCGATCTTTTCGTCGAGGAGGGCGCCACGACGGTCCGGGCGGATCCGTTTCTCCACCGATACCGACTTCCTGCCGAGCGAAACAGAGGGGGGCAGATAGAGGAAGAAAAAGGAGAGGAAGTGGGGAGCCCTTCCCTCGCGGAGAGAAAAAAGTCGGCCGAGATGAAAACGGGAGACAGACGGAAGAGAAGTGGGTACACAGAGCGATCAATGAGAGGAGAGAGGTTGAGCCCCTCATCGGGACGGGATTGATGGAATGGAAGGCATCCCCTAATGGCGAGTCGGCGCTCCACGCCTTCTCTCATGACAGATGACTTGTTTTTTCTCCATTCTTTTCCCTCGACGCGACCGACGGATGGGCCGCACGAAGCCGACCCCCCCCCCCCCCCCTGATAAAACCGGGCTCTTCATCGAGCTTGGACTCCGGCCGCGGGCGCGACGTTCCCACATCGGGTGTCAGCCGACACCGGATACCTGGACTCAAGGGAAGGGGGGGGGGAGGAGGGGGGGAGGGGATCGCGTTGCGTCGGGGCCGTCTCGAGGGAATGTCTCCGGGGGATGAGCATCGCTTTCGGAGTCTTGCACGGCTCGGTTATGAAAATAAAAAAAATTAAGTATTTGGGTACCGGTTCGTGCCCGTACCCCTCTTCGTTCGGTGACCGCTTGCGAAAAGGATGACACGACCCCTACGCTCCTGCGATGCTCGGTGAGAAGTGCCTTTCCTTGTTAAGGAATCTTAGGGGCTGCTCCAAGAACATCGATTGCCCCATCAACCGGCGGAACCACTTCGTTTCTTCGTTTTCGAGCATCTGCGTTTTTCACGCATTCCTCCTCCACAATTCGGTTCGTCTGCCAGTTCTGCAGGAATACGTTTTCGCTCCGGCGGCTACCCTGGGCCCGTGCCAATACAGGTGGGGGCCATGCACGCCGACTCGACACATGGCTGAAAACCGAACCCATTCCCGGCTGGATCCACACACCTTTCCGGGATCTGACCGGCCCAACTGACGGTTTTTTTTTTAACATACTTTAACATACAAGATCTCGGACGAGATTTGATGGAACAGACTCCCGCACTACAGCCATCGACGAGCAAGCGAAAGATTCTGTTGACAGAATCTGATATGCTTCTGCATAGAAATTGTGGATTTTCAAAACGTATGCGCTTTTTTTTGTACTTTCGGTAGCGACCCATCTCGATTTCCTCATCCCTCGTCCGATGGCAATCAGTTCTGCAATGCCGGCTGTCACGCAAGATTCTCCACAGTCGAATACACGAAAGCACACTGGAATAATAATACAGGCACGAGGAAACGGGACACCGACGGGACGCTCAAGAATACGCGCAATGTACTGATCAACTCGACCAGAACCATTCATTACTGTGCAGCAATGCAGCACGGTAACGGAAAGGCAACCGCGCCGCATGGTATACAGCCTCCGCCGAGGCCCCACTGCGAACCCAGCCATCGGCGGTCTATCCCCGGTCTAGCCCTGCCGATTTCCTCCGTCTCGTGTTCTCGGGGCGCTCGAGCGATCGCGAGCCCTCAAGGCCGGCGTTCCCGTCACTGCTTTTGCCCCCGGTGCGTTCGAGCGAGGCGGGAACGGGAATGGAGATGGATGGGCCCCGAATGAGACTTGGCGCATCTTCCAGGTCCCCTGTCATGTTTTAAGATGGACCGGCTCCTCCTCTTCTCTCTCTCTCTCTGATCAATGGATCGGGGGGGAGATCGGGGCGACTCTCGCCCTCTCGCTCTCTTCCCCCCCCTTTTCCAACACCCGAGATGGATTATCTGGGTCTCGGCAATGTCAATGAGATGGATCGCCCGGAGCACCGCTGCCAGATGGTATTTCAAGTCCTGCCTTTGTACGATGCCCAATCAATAAACCAGTGCGTGTTTCCCCCTCATTACATGGTTAATCTAGCCTCAAAGGGGGGAGGGGACTGGACGTTCTCACAGGGCGAGCACAATGCACTAGGATCGGGCTTAAACATGGGCATGCCCCTCGTTTCGATGGTCTTCGAATGCGAATAAACGACGAACACGGCATCGGTGGGGCCGAAAGGGGTGCAACAGATGAGGGATCGGGCGCGAACGTACCGTGAAAGCCGAGGAGTCCGTCGCTGGGTGGGAAGAGCGGGCGAGAGACACTATGCCCGAAATCCATCATGGATCCAGGGCGAGGCAAGGAGACATCAGCCGCTAATCACTGCACCGCCCGGTCGGTTCTTTCTTCGGTACGCGAGAAGGCCGAAGGGGCCGGGGTGGAACGCTCGAGTCACACTAGCGCGCACACAGGGGTCTGAGAGCGATGAGCGGGGGCAGGGGACCACGGATGGATCCATGCGATGCGCATGGGAACAGGGAGAAAGAGCGAGAGGAGAGAAATCACTCGCCGACCGCCACCAACATCATCCCTCAACACGCCGTTCATCCATCTCGGGAGAGGGACGGAACCTTTTTCCCACTCGTCGCGGGGGAACGAAGCCAGGCGGAAACGCTCCTTTCCGACCCTTCGTCGACTGCCAGCCTCCTCCGGAATGGCCCCGGCACGGGGGGGGAGTCGCGTAGTCGTACTCACCGGCCTCCGCAGGCCCTCGGAGGTGCGAGGGAAAGACGAGACGCGGTTCTCGCTTTACGTGATGGGTAGGAGGCGTAAAGAGGGTAAAGAGAGAGGGGGGAAAGGGCCAGGAAGAGCTACCGGTGCCGAGCAAGGGGCAATTCCGAGACGCACGCGCTCCCCTTTCCTTCAGCCCTCGCAGCCCATCACGTGGGAGGGATGATATCCCCTCGTCTTCCCGCGTGAAGTGCGCTTCGCTCGTACGATCGACCGACTCTACCGAGACTCGCCGCTCATGCGACTCACTGGGCGATTCCACGAAGGGAGAGGAAGGAGGCATCACGCGAATAGACAGCGATCCATTAAAAAAAATGACAAAAGAGCTGCCCATTTAGAGCTCATCCATTCTCGAAACTCACGCCCTGATCATAGGGAGTCCTTTCACCGGCGAGCATTAACCGATTGAAAGTGAGAACTGGCATTAGCTACCCGTTCCCCTCCTCTCGTGTAAAATAACCATTACCGCGAAACGCACGGGGCCGACATTCGAAAGCCGGGGCTACCCGATTCGGTTCGTGCTGGCCCTCGTGACACGTGCGACTCACTCAAACGTGACATCCCTGCGATGTAAGCCAGCGGGGGACTTCCTCTGGCCACTCGCAAAAAAAAAAAAACAAAACAGGAAGACATTCGTCTCTTCTGAGCGGTTACTCGGTAACACCAGTGCTCGGGGTCTCAGGGATAGGCGGGTTGATTTCAAATGACGATATCACTGAAACGTGCAGCTACATCACGACAACGACTCGCTTTTTTTCGTTGCTATTCATTCCCCATCGCCACGACGTACTAGCCGTTCCCAAGTTTGCCCCATTTATATTAATGAACCCGGAAAAAGTTGCAGGTCCAAGGAGACTTCTCCCTAGTAGAAGAGTGCGGCCGCGATGACAGGAAGCCGTGAATATTTTACGCCGGGCCAGAGGAAACAAAACACTCCCGAGTAAACCTCCCCCTCCCTCTCTCACTCTCCGCAAGTCGTGCAGGCATGGGAGGGCAAGGGCCAGGGAGGAAAAGGAAGGGGTCCGAGCCCCCCTTTCAGACTTTTTTGGGCTCAGGCGTTGACTTCTGCCCTTTGGAAGGACGAAGCCAAAGCCGGGCCACCTGGAGGGTCGTAACGCATCAATCTCTGACCTTTCCACCCTCGTCGCTCCGTCTCTCTCTCTCTCTCTCCCTCCCTCGACCCCCGGGCCCCCTTCGTTCCGTAACCCTCATCGCGTGCCCCCATCGCCGTTCGATTCTCCATTTCCATCACCACGAGCCTCCAATTACGGCCTCAGAGCACGTTTCGACTTTCCCTTCCTTCGACAAGACAGCGGGGAGAGTATTCCTGCTGCTCCCAGTGGCTTCCGCCCCCCCCCCCCCCCCCCCCCCCCCCCCCCCCCCCCCCCCCCAC